ATATATATATATATGCTTCATGAAATGCTATTTTCAAATATTTAGAGTATTTACTGAAATTTGGAAGCACAATACAAGAAGCTTTCAGTAATTAAAGACTTCTTAGAATACATGAAGAACCAAATACAGAGATACAGGAAAGCCTTATTAGAATCCTCCTTTAAGGAAGGAGGAGAACATGGCCAGAGCTCTTTCAGGCTGATAACTAGGCACCAAATGCCCTGCCCCCCTCACTGTAGCCAATGTCAGCCCCTTATAACCAATCACATATCCCCCCACCTGCCATCATCCATGCAGAATAAATATTTTCTCAAAAAAGCAAAAATAAAGTATTTTTTTTTACAATTTTTAAGATCATTAGGAAGATTTGCATACGCATCGCTCAATTCTCAAAAAAAATATTAGGCATGGAGTTCAAATGCATGCAGACTCTTTATCCAACAATATTTTATACGATTGTACATGTAGGGGTTCCCATGCATGTGAATTCCGTACGTAATATTTTTTCTATTTCTCATGTGTCATATCTTGCTTAATGAGATGATATTTTTTATGTGATACGAATAATTTGGGTGGCATGAATGTAGATCATATTTCTCACCTCATTATCAACATGCCATGGCTTCCATTGTGACTCAACTGGGAGCTTTAGCATGTCGATCGACGTCCTTGTTGACGTCACGGGTACGACTGAATCCTGATCACCACTATATATGAAGAAAAAAGGTACAAGAAAATCAAGTTGACTAAACCGGTGAAGAGAAAATTTAATGTAAATGAGGGAAAAAAGGAGGCATTTACATGCACACCATAATTTTTTTATGTATTTATACATCTAACAACTTAAACATCTATATTTATCTGCATGCAAACAAAATTTTTAACATCATATCAAAAATACTACTATTATTATCTTTTTAAAATTGAAATACACATATGTATGCATTGGTTTATGAGACGAAGGTGCATAAGTGTAAATATCAAACTTTGGGTGTTTTATATGTAAATACATAAGAATTGTGTGGTACAAATGTAAATTTCCCAATAAAATACCTGTAAAACCACACTCTCAGGCCACTGCCAATCAGTTCATGAATGGTCGGAAGCAATGTAGCAGGTGCATCATGCCAGTCTTCAATAATGTCACTATGCAGCAAGAATATATTTACTAATATTTATAAACTTAATCAGAATGTAAATCATAAAAATTTACTTTTACAAAAATACCTGCAAGCAGTCCATGAATATGGAGCATTTACATGAAGTGCTTTCTGCACCTCTGCAAGATTCATATAGCTGTTAACATAACCACCAGCACAAGGATCTGGTTGAACTGACTGCCACAAATAAATAGATAAATTTGGTTGATTTAATCTGTATTTCATCATTATGAAATGAAAATTTGAATATTTTATTAGAGTTTATAATGATCTTACAGATTTTATATTTGAAGATCCACTGCAAAGAGGAGCATAAATATCATACATATCAATTCTTCCAATCTCATTCCTGGCTGCAGTAATGGCTTCATCACATTCTGCATTTCTAGAAGAAGAAGAGGAAAAATTGCAGTTTGATTGAATTATGCTGTAGGTTTCGTCTGCTATTAAAGCATGAGTCCACAAGTAATTGAAAATCTCTTTCTCATTTGTATCTCCGTCAACATAAGCATTCCCCATCTGTTAAAATAGCTCATTATTCGCAAATAACTCGTGTTCTGCTCGCTAAGATATCCAAAATGCATATGAATTGATTGGTATAGGTGCAAATCTTGAAAAAGTTTACTTACAACAATGCCCTTTAGTTGGATGACTGTGTTGGTGTTGGCTGCATTGTTCTTGAGGATGAGGCTGGCGAGTTCGGGGATGTAATGCCCGGCGTAGCTCTCGCCGGCGATGAAGAAATCTCTACTCTTGTACTGGGGAAATCTCTCTAACCAATTGATGAGGAAGGTGTAGGTATCGTCGGCGGTGCTCTTGTCGCCGGTGATCTCATAGTCTGAGCTTGTGTTTGAGTAGGAGAAGCCGACGCCGGCAGGCGACTCGAGAAAGATCACATTTGCCACTTTTATGACAAATGTAAATCAATCAGATAAGAAAAGGGTGACATTTACTTCTTATGATACTATATTAAATGCAAAGTCTGCATGCATGCGAACTTCTTGTACAATTCTATTGTACACCATTATACTTACGTGTATAATGACATACAATATGGTTGTACAAAGAGTCCATAAGGACTCCTCACATAATATTCTCTCTTTACTTATATTAATACCACATAATTATTATACATTTACAAGGACGACCCCTAAACTTTAATATTTAAATAAATATCATTCAAATCCTTAACATTACATTAAAATTAAATATCACTATATCCTTTTGAAAATAAAATACACATTTTAATACATAGGTTAACATCAAATTGTTATAAATGTAATTGATAAGTAAATACACAAAAATTATGTGGTATGTACTTAAATTTTTCTATAAAAAATATGAAAAACATACGTATCATTTAATTCTCATGTATTCATGACAGGAAATATTATGCGTCGATAATGTACCTGCACTTTGATGGTAATGTGAAATATTGAGTAGACCACCAATTCCATGCTTATTTTATCTACACGAAAAATTTTTCTCTCTCTCTCTCTAGGCTTGCTCGTGTTCGGCTTCTTCCGCTCGC